ACACCGAAAGGGATCAAGGGCTCAAAAGACATGCAAATTATCACTGAAAAGCATTTGCCAGGCAATCACTGGCTTCGAAACTCCTTGCAGTTAACTGTTCGTACCATTATTCATCCTTTTTCACGTAGGAAATTACCAGCCAACGGAAATGGCCTGGAGACAACACAAATGCAACCTAAACTTTACTGGTCAAAGCATTAAAAGAAAAGCAAACAATCATTTTCTTGAATTGCTGATTCCAGAATTTTTTCTGTAGAAATTTTGAGTTGAGCTGACTGATGTAGATTTGGGTTTTCAGCCAATCCTCCTTCACTCTTGCCCTCCATTGAAGCCACGTAGATGTGGAAGGTGAACTTAGAGCAGTTTAGGGGCAGAGATTGCCACTACTCTATGTGACTTTACATGTGTGAGTGGGCAGTCTTCCCTCAGTCTGAGAGGAGAGTACGATTTGTGCTATATATGCCCCTCAGGAATGCCAATTGGTGTTATCGGCTAGCTACTTATTCCTACCTGTTTTCCCTCCCAGCACTGATCTTATCCATATGACCCATAATTCTTCCCTCTCACGCACAAGGTGATGGAGGTACAAATTATTATCTCTTAAGACAGCTTGTGGGAAAAGGAGAAATTTATTATTTAAACATAAACAGACACAGATAGAACCATCAGCAATTTGTGACTATAATGATATAGATAAAAGAGAGCTACCTCCGGCACCTAGCAAGTACCTGGCATCAGCTCCTTCTCAAAAATACATGTGGGGCTGGGTGTGGTGGCTCACGCCTGTAATCCCAGCACTTTGAGAGGCAGAGGCGGATGGATCACCTGAGGTCAGGAGCTGGAGACCAGCCTGGCCAACATGGTGAAACCTGACCCTACTAAAAATACAAAAATTTGCCAGGCGTGGTGGCGGGTATCTGTAATCCCAGCTACTTGGAGGCTGAGGCAGGAGAATCACTTGAACCTGGGAGGCGGAGGTGGGCAGTGAGCCGAGATCACGCCACTGCCCTGCAGCTTGGGAAACAGAGTAACACTCCGACTCAAAAAAAAAAAAAAAAAAGAAGTGTGGAAAGTAGGGGTGGACAATGAATTTTCTTGATTGTGTTTTCTACAACAACATCAGCCGTCTCTGCCCAACTCCAGATTAATTTGTCAGCCTGAATGGAAGACATTTAAAAGGGATTTTAAAAAAAAACAAACACTACTTTTTCTCCTAAAATATTTTTTTCTAAAAATAATGATAGAAATAATAGCAGGCAGGATTATTTTCAACTTTCTTAATGTTTAGCCTAACACAGCACTGTCCCAGGTGCTTATTCCTTACAATACTCAGTGACGATTAGGAAACGGGATTTCTGTCCTTAATAGGCTTACTGCAAAGGAGAGTGACAAAGTATTTTAAAACTGCCATGCAGGATAAAGTATGAATGAAATAAGGTCGTTAGTGCTTTTCTTTTTCTTTAAGTTAAAGCCAAGCTTTGTTTTTGAAAATAGAGCACAGGAGGCTTCTACTCTGCCTTCCTTTGGTAACAGGCTGCTTCCCTGTCCTTGATTGGGCTAAGGATGTTGATAACTTCAAAGGAAATCCCTTACTGTGTCCTGCCAGGTTACACTGTACACAGTGTGACCAGGTCAGGACTCGCATCTGTATGGTGCTTTAGAAAGATGTGGTTCTGCAGTGACACAGCTCAGGACACTCACTCCCTACTTCTCCCACCTTCTCTGCTGCTTCCAGAAATTTTAATTGCACCAAAAATAAGGTTCTACTAGGTTTACCAAAGTACTAAATTTGTTTAGATGGGAGGTAACTTCGTGTGTGAAAGAATTTCTCACCTACCTCCCACTCTCCACCCCCATGCAAGCTTGCTCCTATTGAATTCTAGGTGCGAACACCTAGATATTTCACTCTGACTCAACTTTCCATTCTCATATTTGATAAGATTGATATGAAAGAAACACATTTAACAATATTCAACCTTATGTTTTAAGCATCTCTCAAATATTAAATAACAAGATTCAAGGGCTAAAAATAAAACTAACAAAATATTTTTCTCATACAAAAGAAATAATAATTGAATTCTCTTGACAAATAGGAGTTGAGCACTTACTACATCCCTAGCACTGTTTTAATTGCATCTGTTAATCCACACAAGGATCACAGTAGCCGGGCGTGGTGGCTCACGCCTCTAATCCCAGCACTTTGGGAGGCCGAGGTGGGCACATCACCTGAGATTGGGAGTTTGAGACCAGCCTGACCAACATGGAGAAACCCCATCTCTACTAAAAAATACAAAATTAGCTGGGCATGGTGGTGCATGCCTGTAATCCCAGCTACTCGGGAGGCTGAGGCAGGAGAATTGCTTGAACCCAGGAGTTGGAGTTTGCAGTGAGCCAAGATCGTGCCATTGCTCTCTAGCCTGGGTGACAGAGTGAGACTCTGCCTCAAAAAAAAAAAAAAAAAAAAAGAATCACAGTAGCTCTCACTGTAAAGATCGGAGAACTTTAAGCATTGAAAGGTTAAGTGACTTGCCCAGTGTTGTGCCTGGCAAATGGCAGAGACAGGTTTTGAATACAAGTGTTCTGACACCTAAACCTGATTATTAACCTCCAAGCTCTACTGACTCTGAATAAGTGTATTCAAAGTACTCCTGATATATTTAAAATGTGATATGGTTTACCTAAAATATAGCAAATTATATTAGAGTCTTAAGTGCAGCTTTTAAAGCAAGCTGTGCTTTTGGAAACCAGTGCTGTAATTTTGGGATTTTCCCTCTAACTAATGAAAGGCATTTTCTTTGCAAGAGAATTAAGCACCAACTTGTGCAAGGGTTGAAACACTCACTGAAATCAGGATTACACCCACTTTGGCATGGTGTGTCAAGCACCCAGGGTATAAGGAAAGAAAAGCAGGCTGGAGAGAATGGTTACACATTCACATTTGAGCCGCAGCCATATATGTGGGTTAGTTTCCAAATGGACATTTACATTGCCCTTATGTGTATCAAGTTGGTGTTTATTTGCAAACATGTTATTTAGATCTAGGAAAATGACAGGATAGCCCCAGGAAAGTTTCACAGTTATAACCTAACTAGGCTCCCAGTTTACTTTGCATAAAGGGCGTCCCCAAAATGTTTGATAAACACAACTTCTAATATTTCATTGATTTTGGGGGAAGCAGCAGTCCACTTTTGCAGTAGGCACTCATTGGGACTTGCAGACTGACACCCAACATTTGTTATTGCTGTTATTGAGACTTAGAAACTCATGATACATTCCTGGTCCAGAGTTGGGTGGGGGGAAGGAGAAAAAGGAGAGCCAGAGATTATCTTTGAAAATCTAGTTTTTATTATATCACCTAAAGTAGCACAACCTGCTACACTAATGAAATCGTGTTCTTGGTTTAAAAGGGCAATTGTTAGCCTGACTTTGTGCTCACTAAAAACATTCCCCCAATCTTGTTAAGTTATTGCTCTCATTTCAGATTTTTATGGCTGTGCAGCTTACCAGCCCTCATTTCTTTACGTTTCATTCATTTTCCTTGTATTGATGATTAATGGAGGATGTCGAATGTTAGAGTGAGCAGGCATCAGCAATTGCAAGATCATAATTAGTTTAGCTGACGAGGGCCTCTGATAGCACTTGCATCTGGATGGAAAAATTACCCTATAGGGAACTGGCTGCTCACCAGGTCTTTTTAGTGATACATTGTGAAACACCCGATGAATCAAATGCCCTTTCAATGCCAAGAAAGTGTTCCAGTCTTGAAGCCAAAATTATGTCTGCAGAAAGCTTTCCATTTGAAATGTATCAGAGTACAATTATAACCATTGTATTTTCTTGGCAGGGATACCACTCTTCTACAGTATGGACTTGAGTTAAATAAATTGCCTAAATTTTATGAATCCCTGAAATTTTGACTTATAGCACATGTAATATTTAATTTCTAATAAAATTAGGTTCCAGCAAGACTTTTTCCACTCCTTATCTAACATGCGTATTTTATCATTAAAGGCTTTGCTTCCTAGAGAAAGGAGAGCCGAACTACAATTCAAGCTGTCTTTTTTTTTTTTCTTTTTTTTTCAGCAAGAGAATTCCATTTCCTGCCTGTTAGTATTGTGCCTACAAACACAGCCTGACTTTTGTTTAAGTGAGAAGTTTAATGGAATCATTACTTGATAGCAAGAATGGAACAAGCAATACTAATTATCTAGTTTTAAATATTCTTAGGTTATTTTGAACCTGTTGATTACAAAACTCAGGCCACTAGAATCAATTTGTATTTGGAAACCCTTGTGATTTCCAAGTCTAAGTGAAATAAAGTAAATAAATAGCCCTTGAAGGGTCTGTGTTGCCTGACTTAAGTAGGCACCTCATAAGGGTTCTCATTAGTAATACTGTACTTTTAATTGGCTGAAGTTTCTCCAAACCCTCTCATGTTTGAGGAATAGAGGAATCTTTTGGATTTTACAATTGCAAACGAAAGATCAGAATTGAGTGTCTTATATTCTCTTAATACTTACGTTACATGAATGACATACAAAAACACAGAAATCAAGTTTGATTTTAAATGGTTTACATTTGTTCCAAACGTGACTATATTTTAAAGCTCAGGTGGCATGTGCTCCTCCTTTCCAAAGTGTATTAAACATATTGCCATGTTCTGTCGTTTTGACTTGTGTTTTGACACTTTTAAAAGGTATATTTTAGGGTTCCGCATTTAGGAGCCATCATTAAAGCCATAAAACCCAAAGTTCAAAAAGTTAAAGCTGTTTCTGTGAAAAGCCTTTGGTGTTCCACACACCTCATCCATCACTGTAGGGTTAATTATAATGAAAATCAGTGGTGCCTATTAAACACAATTGAACCTGACCTCATTATGGGCAGTGTGGTTTTATACTGTCATTGTTGCTAGTTTAAAGACAAAACTCCTGGGTTGATTTGGTCTAACTCCACTGATCATGTGACTCACCTCTGACCTTGGGTTTTTTCCCCTGTTTCAGAGGCGTAGAGGCTCCGGTGTTTTTTGTGCCAATTGCCTGACCACAAAGACCTCTCTCTGGCGAAAGAATGCAAATGGCGGATATGTATGCAACGCGTGTGGCCTCTACCAGAAGCTTCACTCGGTAAGAACTTGTTCCACTCTTTCAGGAAAAGCTTTATAAAGCAGTGTTGGCCTGGTCTGTGGTGTGATAAGTCCCATTCCCTGGCTTGCAGTGCCTACCCCCGCAGGGTTGTTTAATACAGTCACTTGGAGTGCATGTGTGATTTATGGTGAAAGGGGCTTAGATGGGATGGGGAGATAGGTTTGAGGTCATTAGTAATGCATTATGCTTCTTTTGATATAAAAGAGGAAAATGATTGATTTCTGGGAACTTCACAGCAGATAGTTGAATTAATGGTTATCAGAATTCAGTAAAATTATTTTAGGTAAAAAGGAGAAAATTTTTAGAAGTTTCAGAAATATGCAAAACGTTTTTAAAAATGAAAAAGGACGCTTTCATTGTTCAGTATAAAATAAAAGGCAGGGAAAGAATTAGTATTTTTTAGTTTACCTTTGGAATTCGCAAGTGTTATCTGACCGCTTTAGGGGCTGGAGGGACACATTCGGAAGGATAGTTCTGAACTGAACCAGGATCAGAGAATATCACAGGAATCTCCACAGTGCCTTCAGTGGGTATTTCAATAAGGTATCTGAAGTTCTGAATAGCACACACACCAGGGTGGAGTAAGGTGCAAACATACTTTGTCTTTTAAGATCTCCAGCAGGCTTTGGCTCACGGAGGTCCTTTGAATTACTTTTCCTCAAATTTTAGTTAGAATTCTGTAATAAAATTAAAACTCACAAATCCTCCATCTGAATATGGATTTGACTTACTGAAGGATTTTTTTTTTAGTTTAGAAAGTTCATCTGCTGACAAGAGCTGACTTTAAAATAGGAATCCCCCACTTCGTAAACAGAAATTTATTTCCCTGTGCCTTTTTCATTTTGTTTGGCATTTTACCATAGCTCTTAGCACAAGCCAGTGAATACATTATGGCTACAGGGAATACAATTTTAGACAAAACGTTCTCATATATGGACTATTGGAAGCACTCTTTAAAAAATGCATGCTGCTAGCAATACTAATTGGCAGTAACCTGTAAAAACCTTAGTTATTAGCATGTAGCAAGTAGAAAGATTCTGCCCCCCGCCACATACCAACTTATTTTTCTTTTAACCTTCATCATTTAAGCATAGCAATAAGCTTCTATTTAATGGGAACTGACATTAATGATTTTAATTGAACTCTGGCCAATCATAGGCCAAAAGTAAATCAAAATACTACTCTGCCAGATTATGGTAATTTAACCACTGTGATATGAACTAAACTATTTTCTAAAAATTATTTTAACATTCATCTGTCCAGAGGTAAGATGTTTTTAGTTTTGAGGTTTTTTTAAAAACCATACATTGAAATACATAAAGGTTATGTTCACATTTCATGTCAAAAACTGACACAAAAGTTATGATTGTTTAAAAAAGGAATTTATGCAAATTTCAGGTTTCTTTACAGTGTATAGATTAAATAATGCATATGTTTATAACGCTAATATGAACTCTTTGTAAACCTTTGTAAATCTGAGCAAAAGAAATGCACATGGCATAACTAAGCTGTGTTACATTTTCTTTCTTTAACAATGAATTGTCAATAACAGCAAGTGTGTTATCTTTTTTCACTTCAAAGTATGTTTGTAGCAACAGAAATGTTCAAAAAAGAATTTGTAGTTGTACTCGTTCAAGATATAAGAGGTACTCCCTTGCATTCAAGTGTATCACTTCTAGGAATAATTTATAAATTATATTTATATTTATTTTAAAATTTATATTATATTTATATTATTATAACATATTTATGAATATGTGTTTATATTTAAAAATTTATAATTTGGCCGGGCGCGGTGGCTCAAGCCTGTAATCCCAGCACTTTGGGAGGCCGAGACGGGCAGATCACGAGGTCAGGAGATCGAGACCATCCTGGCTAACACGGTGAAACCCTGTCTCTACTAAAATACAAAAAAAACTAGCCAGGCGAGGTGGCGGGCGCCTGTACTCCCAGCTACTCGGGAGGCTGAGGCAGGAGAATGGCGTGAACCCGGGAGGCGGGGCTTGCAGTGAGCTGAGATCCGGCCACTGCACTCCAGCCTGGGCAACAGAGCCAGACTCTGTCTCAAAAAAAAAAAAAAAAAAAAATTTATAATTTGTAAAATTATACATTATATACACATAATGTATAATTTATAAAGTTACAAATTTATAAATTTATATTTATAGTCATGTTTTATGTAGAAATTATTTTCTGATTTCAGTAATCTTTTAGAAAAATCAGACTTTAGCTCATTTAAAGATTATCCTAAATTTTTAACCTATAAATGTGCATTAATTTATCAGACTGATTCCTTTGATTTTATACATCAAAGAGCTCCAACTGCAAGTAAAGTTTTTATTATAGTCTTATCCGTGGATTTAAGTCATATTATATAAATACCTGTTGAACATGTCCATAAATACCAATCATGTAATGTTTAAGCTAAACAAAATACTTAAGCTGAATGAAAGTTAGCACTTACTTTAAGAGTAGAGTGATAGATCAGATATTTAAACCAAAGCTACACATGAATTTAGATTTTCAACACAAAACTAATGCTTCACCTATTAACAAGTAGAATCTTTCATCATAAATATATTATTTAAGGGAGAGAAGTAGAAGTGAGAATAAAAAAAAAATCCCTCTATATTGCTTTGATGACCTGATATATTTCCGCACAATTCTGTCAGTTTATCTTTATTTATGCTCTGATATTAATATTTTATATCCACATTTGCAATTATTTAGAAGCACGCATGTATTAGTTGCTTAGGTTGCCATAACAAAATACCATAAACTGGGTGGCTTTAAACAGCCAAAATTTATGTTTTCACATTCTGAAAACTAGAAATTGGAGATCAGGTTCCAGCAAAGTTAGATTCTGAGGAGGGCTCTCTTCCTTACTAAGCCACCTTCTATCTGTGCCCTTACACAGTGGAGAGAGATCTCTTTTTCTTCCTCTTTTCATAAGGCCACAGTCCCATTGGATTAGGGCCCCACCCTTACAACCTCATTTAACTTTAATTTCCTACTAAGGACCCTGTCTCCAGATACAGTCACACTGTGGTTTAGGGCTTCAACATATAAACTTATTCTGTCTATAGCAATGTGTAATTTTTCCACTGTTATCAATATGTATTGCCTGTGTTACTCTTGTATGCTGGCATTTTAGTGTACAACTCAAAAATTGAAAAACATATTTCAGGAAAATCACATCACTTCAAGTAACTTTCTACACAGTTTCATCACTAAATGATGCAATCTCAAAATCTGTTGCATTTGGAAAGGCTATTTTCAAGTAGATTAAAGTTTTCAGTACCCCCTGCAAAGATGGACATGATTTAATTAGAGTAAAATAGTGCACTTTGGTTACTTCCTCTGATCCTGCTTAGGGCAAAAGGAGGAGATTTAGTAAATCTACAGCAGAAAGCCTATCCCTGCCTTTGAACTTAAGCATGGTTTATATTTGTGAGGAATTTTTAATGCATTTTAATGTATTTTTTAATGTTTTCCTTTTATGTATTGTATGTGTTCTCTGCAGACTCCCAGGCCTTTAAACATCATTAAACAAAACAACGGTGAGCAGATTATTAGGAGGAGAACAAGAAAGCGCCTTAACCCAGAGGCACTTCAGGCTGAGCAGCTCAACAAACAGCAGAGGGGCAGCAGTGAGGAGCAAGTCAATGGAAGCCCGTTAGAGAGGAGGTCAGAAGATCATCTAACTGAAAGTCACCAGAGAGAAATTCCGCTCCCCAGCCTAAGTAAATACGAAGCCCAGGGTTCATTGACTAAAAGCCATTCTGCTCAGCAGCCAGTCCTGGTCAGCCAAACTCTGGATATTCACAAAAGGATGCAACCTTTGCACATTCAGATAAAAAGTCCTCAGGAAAGTACTGGAGATCCAGGAAATAGTTCATCCGTATCTGAAGGGAAAGGAAGTTCTGAGAGAGGCAGTCCTATAGAAAAGTACATGAGACCTGCGAAACACCCAAATTATTCACCACCAGGCAGCCCTATTGAAAAGTACCAGTACCCACTTTTTGGACTTCCCTTTGTACATAATGACTTCCAGAGTGAAGCTGATTGGCTGCGGTTCTGGAGTAAATATAAGCTCTCCGTTCCTGGGAATCCGCACTACTTGAGTCACGTGCCTGGCCTACCAAATCCTTGCCAAAACTATGTGCCTTATCCCACCTTCAATCTGCCTCCTCATTTTTCAGCTGTTGGATCAGACAATGACATTCCTCTAGATTTGGCGATCAAGCATTCCAGACCTGGGCCAACTGCAAACGGTGCCTCCAAGGAGAAAACGAAGGCACCACCAAATGTAAAAAATGAAGGTCCCTTGAATGTAGTAAAAACAGAGAAAGTTGATAGAAGTACTCAAGATGAACTTTCAACAAAATGTGTGCACTGTGGCATTGTCTTTCTGGATGAAGTGATGTATGCTTTGCATATGAGTTGCCATGGTGACAGTGGACCTTTCCAGTGCAGCATATGCCAGCATCTTTGCACGGACAAATATGACTTCACAACACATATCCAGAGGGGCCTGCATAGGAACAATGCACAAGTGGAAAAAAATGGAAAACCTAAAGAGTAAAACCTTAGCACTTAGCACAATTAAATAGAAATAGGTTTTCTTGATGGGAATTCAATAGCTTGTAATGTCTTATGAAGACCTATTAAAAAAATACTTCATAGAGCCTGCCTTATCCAACATGAAATTCCCTTCTTTTATTATTCTTTCTTTTGATGAGTAGGTTACCAAGATTAAAAATTAAGATAAATGGTCAATGAGAAAGAATGGACGATGGTAAACAATCACTTTTTAAAACCTGTTAAGTCAAAACCATCTTGGCTAATATGTACTGGGGAAATAATCCATAAGAGGTATCACCAGACTAGAATTAATGTATTTATAAAGAAAGAGACCAAAACTGTCTAGAATTTGAAAGGGTTTCCATATTATTATACTAAAGCAGTATTGGACTGGCCATTGGACCATTTGTTCCAAAACCCACAAATTGTTGCCTAAATTTGTAAGTATCATGAAACCTTAGGCAGAGGAGGAGAAATTGAAGGTCCAGGGCAATGAAAGAAAAATGACGTCCTCTCAATTTAGTCTTCTCTCATTGGCCATGTTTCAGATTTTGACCTAGAAATGCGAGCTGTGGTTAGGCTTGGTTAGAGTGCAGCAAGAAACATGACAGATGGTGGCACGCTGTTTTTAGCCAGCCCTGCCTGTACATACACATGCACACCCTCTCTGATATTTTTGTCCTTTAGATGTTCAAATACTCAGTAGTCCTTTTGTTTGCGGTTTAGATTTCATTTTGTCCACACATGTACCCATTTTAAAAAACAATGTCCTCGATGCTTCCGTAGTAATTTCATTTTAGCCAGGTATTTCTTTCTTGTGTGTGATGAGCCAGTATGGATTTGCTTTTCTAAGCCTCCTGTTGGTTACTAATCTCACTTGGCACATTATAACTAAAGGAATCCCCTCAATTCAAAAGCATAGATGGATACAAATGTCAGACCATGGGTTTAATCTGTTTAGAACACATGGCATTTCTCCATAAGGTAACCTGCTGTATTTATTTATTTTCTTTTGGTTAAATATAATTTCCAAACTTTGTGGTCAGGCAGCGTCTAAGGTTACGTTACCACAGACTGACAGTTGGTATATGTACTAGTCAATCCCTTCATTAAATGTATACAGATTTAGTTAAGTAGCATTAAATAGGATTCTTAGGAGTATGTCCTCATAGAACTTTTAATACTTAAGGCTTTGTAAAAACTATCCATGAAGGGAAAGCTCCTCAGCATAACTGCTCAGGGAAATAGGGCTAAATAACTGAACATTAAATAATTGGTTAAAGGTGCTGTTAGTCGAGCCTCAATGCTTGCTACAAGGATGTATGTACAAGGACTGACTTTAATAATTTGCATTATATTGTCCCAGCCAGTAGTTTATTTTTTGCCACGGAGATGTAGAAGATATTACAAGCTACTGGATGCACTGTCAGATTAACTTATTTCATTAAAGAAGTTGGGAGAACAAATAGGAAAAAAAAAAACTTATTTTTCTAGTAAATATTAATGTATTACATTTCAAATAATGGTGCCTGACATATTGAATAATTATTTTCTACAGTGTACGTATGCAACAAAGATATTCCATCATGCATTAGAGTCAGTTCTGGCTCTGCCTAGCTGTTTACATTTGCAAATGTAGCAAACAAGGTAATGAAGCAACTATTTCTATTGCAGTAGATATCCTTTTGTGTGTGTGTGTGTGCATTAAAGTTGTAAACGGTAACATGAAACAAATGAAAGTTCTTGCTATAATGGTATGGAAAACAAGAAGGAAATGAAAATATTTTTATGCCTACTTAGGAAAAAAAGGGTAGCACTATTCATTCCAAGTACTTTTTTTTTTTTAATTTTTAAGCTCTTAACTCACATTGTTATGCTTAAGATGATAAACATATATCCTCTTTTTATTGCTTTGTCTATGTTTCATATGAAACATTTCAGAAATTATTTTGATAAGTGTTGCTGGAATCTGCAACGCTGATGTTTTTATTGCATTCTGTAGTCGCATTTGCACTCCATTTTTACATTAATTCGCAGTTGCTTTGTATCGTTTTGTTTTGTTTGGGTTTTGTTTCTTTTTCACAGTGCCGGGTCTTCGTTTCTTAAAGTTGGATGGCAGGTAGAGTTCAACCAGTTCGTGACTGTTGTAGCGAATGAAGTTAAAAAAAAATGTCTTTCTGATGTTGTGTTGTCATTTTCATTCTTGCATTTTTTGTTTGCATATTAAAAAAAGAGAAAAGAGAAAGCAAGAGACAGAAATCAGGACTAAGTCCTCTGCTTCAGTTTCATTGTTAATGGGCCTTATTCTGATCTCACCTGTCGCGTAGCTCTAATATTCACATAAACTGAAATAAAGAAGTGGAATGAGGAGCTTTGACATTCAAATTATGTGATGTAATTTATCTTCCATAGGAATTTTGATGGATACATCTCAAAATATATAGCCAGACTTGAGAGGTGACAATTAAAGATCTAAAAAAGAGAGGAGATTCCCCAAACAACAATATTTAATTTTCTTAGTAAAAAGAATAACAAAATGCATCATGGCAATCCTTCAGCAACATTATCTATGTGGACTGCTTAAATCAGCAAAACACCAGAAGTTTGGTTAACTTGGGCAATATGGCAAGTATTACTTTTTGGGCAAAACTACTCATTAAGCAATTTCTCTAGTGTGTCGGACACAAATAGGTTCTTTATTTTTGGCATGTATGCCTTTTTATTTTCATTCAATTTTTTTTTCTCAGACAGATAGAGTACTACTACTCAGATAGTAGTAATGTCTAGCATTGGAAAATACATATCACTATTCTTGGAATATTTATGGTCAGTCTACTTTTTAGTAGAATATTTTTGGATAGCATTGACACGATAGATCTTATTCCATACTTCTTTATTATTGATAATTTTATTTTCATTTTTGCTTTCATTATTATACATATTTTGGTGGAGAAGAAGTTGGGCTTTTTTAAAAGAGACAAAAATTTATTATAACACTAAACACTCCTTATTTTTTTGACTCATTAAAGCCTTTATTCCATCTCAAGATATATTATAAAATTTATTTTTTTAATTTAAGATTTCTGAATTATTTTATCTTAAATTGTGATTTTAAACAAACTATTATGGTACGGAACCTTTTTTTAATGAGGAATTTCATGATGATTTAGGAATTTTCTCTCTTGGAAAAGGTTTCCCCTGTGATGAAAACGATGTGCCAGCTAAAATTGTATGCCATTTGAAAACTGAAAATTTGTGTATGTTCTAAATTGAGCTTTGGATCAAATTTTAGACCAGGACCAGCTCATGCATTCTCACTCTTCCTATTCTCACTCTTTCTCTCATCACTCACCTCTGTATTCATTCTGTTGTTTGGGACAGAAAAGTCATAAAGAGCCAACCCACCTCAGAATGCTGTGGATTGAGAGAGACACTACATGACTCCAAGTATATGAGAAAAGGTCAGAGCTCTAAGTGATAACTCTGTAGTTCAAAAGGAAAAGAGTATGCCCAATTCTCTCTACATGACATATTGAGATTTTTTTTTAATCAACTTTTAAGATAGTGATGTTCTGTTCTAAACTGTTCTGTTTTAGTAAAGGTAGATTTTTAGAAAACAAGCATGGGGATTCTTTTCTAAGGTAATATTAATGAGAAGGGAAAAAAGTCTCTTTAACAGCTCTTTGTTGAAGCCTGTGGTAGCACATTATGTTTATAATTGCACATGTGCACATAATCTATTACGATCCAATGCAAATACAGCTCCAAAAATATTAAATGTATATATATTTTAAAATGCCTGAGGATTACATTTTTCTTAATAAACTGAAGAGTCTCAGTATGGCTATTAAAATAATTATTAGCCTCCTGCTGTGTGGCTGCAAAACATCACAAAGTGACCAGTCTTGAGACCTGTGAACTGCTGCCTGTTTAGTAAATAAAATTAATGCATTTCTAGAGGGGGAATATCTGCCATCCAGTGGTGGAAATGTGGAGTAAAGAAACTGGTGGTCTGCTTCTGTGCTGTATGCCAGCCTTTTGCCTTAAGTTGAGAGGAGCGCAACTTTAGCTACTGTCTTTGGGTTGAGAGCCATGGCAAAAAAAAGAAAAAAAAAAAATCAAGGCATCTTTGGTGAGCCAGTAAGGTGAAAGCTTGCTGACTGTTCAAGGCACAAGAGAAAATTGAGGAATTGAAATGCAACCTGAGTATCAAACTAAATATTCTAACCAAAGGTAGGTACTGTTAGGTGGAATTCTATCATCAGGCAACTGCAAATGAGAAGAAGATAGAAGGACGCCCATTGGGACTTTGGAAGGCAGTGTTATTTTCCCAAAGAAAGACTTGGCCAAGAACAGAGGGATGGCTTCTTTGCAGAGCACTCCTTTTGGTTTTTCAATACTGTTTCATAGACAGTGGACCCACATGTTGTGGTGCAGTTGCTTAGAAAGCATCCTAGTTAATTGCAGTAATTAGAACTTCTGCAATATGCTAGGGCAGAAGTATGTCAAGTCAGGGATGAAGAAAATGTGAAATTCAAGAGTAATCCACATGTGAGAAACTAGATAATGTACGATCATGTGTTCTCTTGAAAGGAAAGGGAGAGCTGTAAGCTTCACTCTGTCCTACACCAGAGAAAAGCAGGAATAACTTTACCATGGAAATAATGTTTAGCTTTTATCAGAGAAAATGGTCCTTCTAGACCATAGAGTCCCAAAACTCAATTCTGGTTTTCCCCTGGTGGTGGTTGGTTTTTTTTTTCAACATATGAACTGCAGCATATCACTTTTTCTTTTTGTGCCTCAGGTTCCTCAGCTGTAAAATTGAAAAATATATTAATAATATTATTAATAGTAATAATGGTAATGTAGTACTTGTTTGTAAAGCACTTTGAGATCCTTGGTTGAAAGGCACCATAGAAGTGCCAAGTATTATTATGTGGCCAAGGGGGTTATTTAAACTGTCAGTTCCCGAAGGCCAGGAAAGGTTGGGGTCATTTTTCTTAAAGATGAGCTGTAAATATCAACTAGGCAGCCAATAGTGTTGACTATGAAGACGCAAAACTGTTACTAGGCTGATAAAACCATAGTTTCTTAATGGCTACCAATAAGGCAAATATCACAATAATAAATGCCAAATTCCTTAGGGTGGACTATTTGACAACCACATGGAAAATTTCGGGGGAGGCATGTGGGGGGAACATCTCAAAATGCCAATGTAAAATTAACTTACAGCAATATTCACCAGCAGAAAATGTCTTTCATATGGAATGATTTCATGTTGCTAAGAAAAAGAATTCAATTTGTAGTCCTGATTTGAATATTAGAATGTTGGCTATAATAGTTCTGTTCTTACAACACATGAAATTTTTTCGTTTTATTTTGTTTTGTTTTCATAGTGCATGTTCATTTCTACTCACAAACATGTTCTTGGTGTATTTCTTATGCAAACAATCTTCAGGCAGCAAAGATGTCTGTTACATCTAAACTTGAATAATAAAGTTTTACCACCAGTTACACATAACGGCGTTGGTATGGTTTATATGGATTCACTTTCATCCGTCTAGCAATAGGAAATACAGATCATTGTAATATATATATATACAGGCTCTGCTGAATTGAAATGGTGAAATCAAATCACCATTCTAAAGAACTATTACTTATATTGATAAAGCCTGGATTCTCTCAACTTGTTTCATTTTGCTTTGCTTTTTTTCTTTAACCAATCAATCTCTTATTGATAGATTTTGTGTAAAAAGATATATACTAGTTTCTTCAGAAAGATTAACAATAAAAATTGTGTTTATTTCAAAAACATTCACTGAGTATCAAATATTGAGTGTTGAGTATTGGGTAATGATTATGTTACGATATGTAAAAACTCCTGCTTATGAAGTTTTAACTTTGAATACAGTATACTCGTGAATATGATGCAAAGATTCTAATCAATCATCTCAAAAAGTTTAAATTAATATGTCAAATATCTTGTTTGTTTGGTTAAAATCAAATTAATCAGAGCAAGTTCCCTGAAAGATGACTTTGAAAGAGAAATGAGGCAGAAGAGATTCAGATAGGAAAGGACGTTGGGAAGACTCACCTGTGTGTTTTTAACCAGAAGGAAAAATAGAAAAAGAACATAAAGTATATAGATTGCTTCAGAAGATTTGCTTGGAGAGTTCAAAATAATTAGTATCTCCCCTCATGATACAATCATTTCTCATTTTTGGGAGCCCAAATTAAGGAACAAATCTTTCTAATTATTATTTTTTTTCTTTTTCCCCTTTTTCTTTCCGTGTTTTGAAAACAGCAGAGCGTCTTTGATGGGCTTTCATAATGGTAATGCCCTTGTTTTGCAGCTGGAGGCAATGTTCTCTAGATAAGAGTGTAAAAATAACATTTAATGTGATATACTTCCTTATGTAGAACTTGATTCTTGTGTCAAGGACCACCCTTCAGATAAAGAATACACATGATCTCACCCGGGACTGTCAGAACCCCATTAGAGGAGGAATATATAGCCATCAGCTATTTACCGGTATTTGAGGGAAGCGAAGTGAGTGAGTCAGCATTGTCACCCTGCTCTCACCTCTGGGTCTCCCATCTCTGTGTGGACAGAGCAAGGGTCCAGAAAAGGAACATACAAGGACACAAAGGAGTAGGCAAGTGGCCTCCATGGAGGCAGCCAGCTGGGTAGAGACTTTGGGAACTGGAGAGCTCATTCCACATGTATAAAGGTAGTCTTTCTTCAGCTCTAAGCATATTGCCAAGGGAGAGTGCTTAACTTGCATTTGCCAGATTTTCAGTTTTTAATAAAAACTAGACAAAGGGAATTTTATATGAAATCTCCTATGTTTTAAATGTTACTTACTTTTTTTTTTAAAATACTGCAAGCCAAACAAAACACTTGTTCAAAATAAATTCCACCAGTAGATTGCTATGGTATGACTCCTGGAGCTTGAACAATAGTGAACTCTGATAACTGGCAAGGTGGAAATTAGGCAAAGGGCTGAGATTAGTTGCTTTTCCTCTGGGTTTTGTCTTGGGTTGCAGTCTGTCTCCAGCTCTACCAGGAAGCCCAACAGAATCACAGCTGTAGCACTTGTCTGATTCCTTCGGAGCAAGATTTGCTCAAGACTAAGAACATTGGCACAGAAAAGAAATAAACCCTGTTTTTTCAGCATATTCATACTGCAAATTACTTTGTACTTCTGTTCTTCATCTTTGTAACCCCAAGAACAGTTATGCTGTTTTTAAAACATACTGATATGAACAAATTTACCCTTTCATGAACAAAGAAATGTCAAAAACTATTAAAAGTAGCTGGAGTTAATATTTGGTAATGCCCAAGATGCCCTTATAGTCCTCTACAAGTCATATTTTAGAGTGAAAACACCAGGCGTAGAAAACTAAATAGAACAATAGATAGAAGGAAGGAGTTTTTCATGTCAGGGTTGATCATATTAATGAATTAAAAAACAATTTGTATACAAAATAAGAAATTTTATAATGAAATCTTATTTCTAGTTTTATAATACTGTTATCTAATATATTCAGGATGTCAGTAGTCCTAAGACCATCTTTCATAAATGTAGTATTTATATAAAATACTTACATCAAGCAACAGCTGGTTCTTCTCCCAACTTACTGCTTAATAAAAACAAGCAGTAAACATTAACAAATATAATAGAAATTGCTTAAGTTATTTCCATAAATAGAAAGTTAATTTCCAAGTTAAAACTACACAAGCACTAAACTGTAAGCAGTTTCCCAGGGATATTTATGAACTGAAACCCATGAATACATCACAGACTTTTTCTCAGAACATGTACCACCTCTGATGTGAAAGCAAAGCCTGCCATCACCATGATTACACCCTAGTTTTTAAAGTTAATATAATATAGAACTGACAGTATTTTCTTCAGAGCTTAAATTTCCTTAGATATTTTCTTTATATATAGCAGGTACTACTCAATGTAATTGATGTATCCTTAAAAGGATATATATATATATATATATATATGGCAGTGATTTTGCAAAGCATGAATTGTTATCGCGATGGTATATTTTCTATATATTTTTACAATTACCTTGATGATTTTTTCCTCTAGTGAAATCAGCATTGCTGTTATTTTGTTATTCATTGGTAATACTATATAGTATAAACGCAGGCTTCATTAAACAATATCCATTTGGTCAGCAGATTTTAATTGAGTATTTACTATGTTTTGGGCTCTAGTCCAGACATTTGGGATAGATCAATGAAAGAAAACAGACCTAAACCCCTGGCTATATGGAAAAAAGTCAGACAATAAACATATGTACAAAATAAGCAAATATATTAATAACATTACATGTTAGAGAGTGATAAGTGTCCTGGTGAAAAAACAAAGTAGCATGAAGGCAAGGTGGGGTGGATGGAACCATATTCAATAGGCTAAACAAGTTTCATCTGAGCCAAGACTTAAAAGAGGGAACAGGCCGGGCGCGGTGGCTCAAGCCTGTAATCCCACCACTTTGGGAGGCCGAGACGGACGGATCATAAGGTCAGGAGATCGAGACCATCTTGGCTAACACAGTGAAACCCCGTCTCTACTAAAAAATACAAAAAACTAGCCGGGCGAGGTGGCGGGCGCCTGTAGTCCCAGCTACTCGGGAGGCTGAGGCAGGAGAATGGCGTGAACCCGGGAGGCGGAGCTTGCAGTGAGCTGAGATCCGGCCACTGCACTCCAGCCTGGGCGACAGCGCGAGACTCCGTCTCAAAAAAGAGAACAGGCCCTAAGGTGAAAGAGTGTACCTAGTAAATTGGAAGAATACCAAGAAGACCAATACAGCATGGCCAGGTAAAGGAAAGAAAAAGTATTTTAAAATGCACACAGAGATAAGGTGGGAAGAAGTCAGACCATTTAGAACACTGTAGGCCACTTTAAAGACTATAGCTTTTATTCTGTCCGAAGTAGGGAAGTAATTTAGTGTTTGAGCACAGGAGTGTTATGTTTTAATGGGACCATTCCCTACTATGCTTAAAGTAAATCATGAGATGTGAGGAGACAAGGATAGAAGCCAGGAGACCAGGGAGGAGGCTAATTCAGTAATCTCTGTAAGAGATGAGAAGTACAGAAAGTAATTTAAATTTCAGATAACATTTTGAAGGTAGAACAAACTAGATTGCCTGGATATGGGGTGTGAAAGAAACAGAAGGGTCAAGAATTATTCCAAGATTTCTAGCCTGAGCAACAGGAAGAATATCTGCCATAAACAATGGGGAAGAGTATTGGTAGATCAGATTTGGTGTAGGAAAGAAAAGGAGTTACATTTTGGGCATGCTACATTTAAGATCCAAATAGAAAGGTCAAGTAGACTGTTGGAGCTGAAGAGGGAGTTGGGAGTTAATCGTTAGCTTATAGATGGCATTTAGAACTCTGAGATTGGCTGAGATCATCTAGCAAAGTGAATAGAAGGAAAAATGGGTCCAAATTTGTAAATCCGGGAAACCAGGAGACTCAACAAAACCAAAGGGGAGTCTCTGAGATAGCAAAAGGAGTAAAGTATATTAGAAGCCAAGTAAACAGAACTATATCAAGAAGGAGGGAGTAATTGACCTTATAAAATCTGCTATTGATAAGTGCGATGCTGTCTTAGTCTGTTTTGTGTTTCTATAAAAGAATATCTGAGACTGGGTAATTTATAAAGCTAAGAGGTTTATTTAGCTCACAATTATACAAGATGTACAAGAAGCATGGTGCTGGCATCTGCTCAGCTTCTGGTGAGGAACTCAGCCTGCTTCCATTCATGGCAGAAGACAAAGGGAAGCCCAATGTGTGCAGAGATCACATGCCAAGAGAGAAAGCAAGAGAGAGGGGGCAGGTGCCAGGCTCATTCTAACAACGTCCTCTTGCAGGAATTAATGAAGTAAGATCTCACCCTCAAAGGAGAGCATTAATCTGTTCATGAGGGACCCACCCCCATAATTCAAGCATTTCCCATCAGGCCCACCACTAATGTTTGGGGATCAAATTTCAACATGAGGTTTGAAGGGGACAAATATCCAAACCATAGCAAATACATGTAGTGGATTGGCCATTGGCTTTAGCAACATGAAGGTCATTGATGTGAAAAGAGAGCTATATAATTTGTGTGGCCCATAGCAAAATGAAAAATTTGAAGTCCCTTTGTTCAAGGATTAAGAATATCAAGATGGTGAGAGGACATTCAACAAAACTCAGGGCCATTGTAAGGAATGCCCCTGTGCAACTACAGAGGGTAAGGTAAACTAAGGAGAGAGTATTGCATGCCCACGAAGCTGGCCCTGGTCAATAGTGATATTGATGAGAGTAGTTTTGGTGGAGAAATGGGTGTGAGAGCCTGATAGAATAAATTTAAGAGAGAACAGGACGAAAGAACTGGAGAACTAAGTATGAAAATATTTGGGAGGCCGGGCACAGTGACTCATGCCTATAATCCCAGCACTATGGGAGGCCAAGGCGGGTGGATCACAAGGTCAGGAAATCGAGACCATCCT